GGCATGGCTCCACATGCCACAATGCCCAACGAAATCCTTCATTGGAATTTCCTTTACAAGCACGATGGCTACCTGCTGGTAGCCAAAGACGACTTTTCCCAGTTCAAGTGGTTTTGGGAGACCGATGTCGCCAACGCACAAGTGATTGTCAATGGAAAGAATTGGCAAGCCTACAGAACGCTGTGGAAAAATACGCGCAGATGTGTCGAAGGCATCATCCTCAAAGCGGAGGAAAGGACGAGCTGCAAGAGCGAAGACAAAAGGCGCCAAAATGGCCGAATTCGACGTCGGGGATTATGTCCTCTACATGGGTCGTTAGCCCATCGAAGCTCACTGTGACTTGGCGCGGTCCCGCGCAGGTGGTCAAAGCAACCTCTGGATGGGTTTTTGAAATCCAGAATTTGATCACTCGGATCGTGCGCGAGGCTCACGCAAGCCGGCAGAAGTTTTACGCCGACGAGTCCCTCAATGTCGACGAAGAATTGTTGCGCCATGTGACTCACAATGCCGACGGGCATGTCGTGGACCAGTTGGTCGATTGTCGATACAATCCACGGACATCTGCCTTCAAAGTCTTGGTGCGATGGCGCGGCCTTCAGGACGTTGAGAATTCTTGGGAGCCGGCGACCAACCTGCTGGAAGATGTACCAGCAGTCGTGAAACGGTACGTGCGCGAGCACGGTGCGCATGGCACAGTGGCGTCCATGGCCACGGCTCTTGGACTGGAGCGATCCCTGGGGGGGATTGTTGCGAATTGCACATTCGCAGGAGCCATGGAGTGCATCCAAGAAACAATCCAAGACTCCGTTCAAGTTAATCCTACATGTGCTATGATTGGCTAATTGTAGTGGTACCATTAGGGGAGGGTTTAAGCCCTGGGGGGAGCAGTCCCCCGAGATGGAATTCACTTTGTGATTTGCCCGTGACCACTGCGTTGTGGTTAGCCTTTTGTGTGCGCGAGACAGGACTTCACAAGGTCCGTCAGGTGGAGACTCAACACGCCATGATGAGAGCGTTACACTTGGAAAGAATGCATGGATGCGGTGGCGAAGTTGGAGTGATGCCCCATCCCAATCCCTTGACCAACAGACAGCAAGGTTGGCGTCATGGGCCCATCGCCACCACCCGTTCTTCTCGTCTAAACGGGAAAGGATATTCCTGAGGTAGGGGATTGCCGAAGTGACACAGACAAAACAAGATATGGATGCATTGTTTCGAGCACTTCATTGACGTGCTGACGGCGGCTAGCCGTGGGCTTTGTCGAGTCCCCCACGGCGCCGGCTTGGAAGGGCAACGCAACATAGTGTGCTCGGGGGGCTTGCAATCTTGATATTGTCGAAGGGTGCACTTCTAATGAGGTCGTGCATCAAGCCGGCGCAACCTTTGGGGTCGCGTATGACGGTCGTAAATATGTGGTGTCAGTCTCTCTCGCTGAGTTTCGCAGGACGACCACCCCCAAACTCGGCTAGAAAGTCGCCGAAACAGCGACTTTCAATGCACACGCCGATTTGGCTGCGTTCGAACTCGGTAAGTTGAGACCCGGCGCCAATACGTGCACTTCAAAGGCTGATTCGTGTGTGGCCGATGTTGGCCCACAGCCCTGTGGTGTTTGAAGCTGTCAAAAGGTTGAAGTTCGCTTTAGGGGAGAAGTACAACTGTCCCATACTTTTGCAATTGAATCATGCATCATTAATTCATGCACAACAACAATTCTTTGTCATATCACCCACAAATGGGCTCGTTGTATTCATGCTCATATACTGGGAAAGACAGAATGCAACACCCACCCTATCTTTGATGTCAAGTGAAAAAATTCTAGATTCTGGTTGGCAGAGATCTTCAAAGTTCGATTAGTATTTTAGCCTACCACAGTGCCTTTGACTAATTGACAGTGAAATCACTTCAAACCGAAATTAAATTTACAAGAAGTCGTATACAAATCCTGCAGGCGCGATCCAACTATAACTCCGCAATGACGCTGCGGTGCTTCAATAATGAAATATGATTAATTAATATTCGAAGTATTCACGAACTACTTTAGTGGGTATTGCATTCTTTTTTATGTCTTTCCCAGCAGCGACAATGTAGGTGCGGACTGCGCTCCTTGTTAAGAGGTGGGCAATTGGCAGTTTCAATTGCACTTGTGATCATGTCCGACATCATTGTGGAGGCGGAGACATCGTCATCGACATCAAAAGTGGCATTGCCGCGACAGCAATATCAACGGGAGTAGTCTAGGCCACGCAAATTCCGACCCTACATCAACAGACGATACTTCGACATCTAACAGATCACGAAGCCCTCGCTTGGCTGTTCAACATGGGGAATCGGTCCGGCAACCACAAACTCGGCGATGGGCCAAAGAACTTGACTACACATTAATCTATCGACCGGGCGAACTTAATGGAGTTGCAGATGGTCTCTCACGAATTGCGTGTCCTGTGATGACACTCAGCGTCAAACGGTTGACCAGCGGTACCACGCAAAAAGATGCTAGTACCACGCCTCCTCAAGAACATATGGCTGAATCAGATGCTCTTCCAATGATGGCAAACCCTATCGAACTGTTCGACCGGCGAGGACGTCCCTCCCCCAGGCTGCATAATGAACAGGCCAAAGACCCTTTGATCGTGGCGCTACGAGAGTATCTAGATGATGGCGCGCTACCGATCGATTCACACCTCCTGAAGTCGTGACGAGGAACGCACAACAGTACACGAGTACACGATCAGACAAGGAATCGTATGTCGCTACGTTACTCACAAGACGCCATTGCGGAACCCCGAACTCCTCATGGTGCCGGTGATCCCTTTCACCCTGGTGGAAGGAGTCCTACACGCGAGACATGCCTCTCAGTTTGCTGGGCATCTTGGATTCACGAAGATACGTGAACGAATTCGCCGAACGGTCTATTGGCTGGATTGGCAGCAGGATTGCAAGGAGTACTGCTCGAAGTGCCCCGACTGCAACCGTGCCAAAGGAGGGCGAGCGTGGCGAAATGCAAGTCATTCCCGTCTATTCCCTCAAAGGACCGTTTAGTCGAACGGCCGTGGATGCCCTCGGGCCACTACCTGCCTCAAACAAAGGCAACAAGCACTTCCTCATCTTCGCCGACTACTACTCTCGGTGGGTGAAGGCATTCGCCTTGCCGAACTTGAAGACGTTCACATTCGCTCGAGTCTTGATCGACGAAGAACTTTGCCGATTCGGTGTCCCCGAAAGGCTGTGACCGATCGTAGATTTAACTTCGTGTCTGAAATCGCCACCACCATACACCACGCTCGGAATCCAAAAGCTGGCTAGCGCGGCCAACCACCCCCAAGGTCAGCCGCTCGTGGAGCAATTCAATCCCACGATCGTCCAGATGATCAAGATCTATGTGAATGATCCAATGTCCAATTGGGAACGTGTCTGACCCGCCTCCTGTTTGTATACCGCAGTTCACGCAAAGAAACCCTGGTGGACTTGCCATACTTCTGTCTATTTGGAGGCGACCTCACGCTTCTCCTCGACTTAGCGTTTCTCAACGTGGACGCTGCATGAAAATCCGATGATCTGCCGCACTATTAGCGACGCCTAGCCGCGTCCTGGAAATTCGCTCGCTGGTTGAGCATCAACTCATTGCGGGTCGAGCAAGAACGCAAAGGCCAAGTCAGGCCAAAACCCCGTCGATTATGACGAAAGGACGGCGATCTGGGTGTACAAATACTTCGCCAAGTCGGGCGACCCAAATGACCACCCGACCGGCAAATTAGCATGTCACTGACATGAACCGTATCGGTTTGACCGAAAGATTGGTCCGAACACGTACAAAATCGACATACCAACGCAACTGGACAAGATGGTGACGGTCAATGTAGACCGACTCAATTCCTTCCACGGCTAGTACTCTCGCCCGTTCAACATGACATTCCGGACGACGACTCCCCGATCGACTGTCTGCCGGAATCCAGCTTCACTAGTCGAGTGGCTTTCAGCGACAACGATGTCGCCTACACCGCAACGGTTCCCCCACCTTCCACTTGGTGGACAAGTGCAGGACGCCCCACTCTCGCGAACCCGAATACCTAGTCGACTACGTGGACGGACACAAACACTGGGTTCGCGCGTCCAGCTTCAAGAATACAAGACTTACATCGACAGCTACGAGAATGAGGGGCGGATGACTTAAGGTCTACCACCCTTAAGACGCCCCCGTCGGTTCGCCGACCTCGACGAGGAGCCGACGCAAAACGTGCTCTTCAAGTCGATGAGGTAACTCGACGATCGACGCCTGAAGGTGAATTTCATGGTGTCGTTCCGTCATCCCCTGTGTGTCGTCCGACCGGCCACTTAAGCTGTCTCATCGTACAGGCTGACCTCGAACAGCCTCCCCTCTCGCTATCACCCAAGCTACTCACTTGCGACCAAACAATCTGTGAGTCAAACGCGGCAAACAAGAATCAAGCAAGTTATTGGCACCAGCCGGTCAAGTTGTCGTGAAGGGAAGCGTTCAGAGTCCGACACGCGGCTGGAACTCGATCCAATAGCTCGCGCGCGGGGACCTATCCTTCCGGGGATGTGTATGCGGCGGGACTTCGGAAGCCGGAGGACCCTCGGTGCCGGATTCTGGGTTCGAGGGAGCCGATCGTGTTGTAGCCGTGGACGGATGAGTTGGACGCGTCGCCATCGCCGCAATGCTAGACTGAGAATGCCGCATTTTATCAGCTCACCTCACCCAAGTCGACAAGTCAAGAATTGAAGTCGAACGTAGGGCAGGCAAGTTCTTATCTACCATTGGCTGACTAGGTCGAATTTTGCCTGCCTACTAATGACGTCAAATATCTGCCTGTATCAACTATGCTCCATTCAACCAAGACACGATCGTCGACCCGATTGTTCGATGGAGGTCGAACTTGAAGGGGGGTTATGTCGATGATGGACATCAAGTCATCCCTACTCGACCACGAATAGTCGACATCAAGTGACTAGGCTCCGAAACTTAGAAGCATTAGCCGAGGGACATTCTAAGTCCCTCTAAAGGAATGCCTTCATGTAAGATAGCTACATCCTAATCAATCTTTAACCTGCACGTTGGAAGTTACCTACTTCCTTCCATCATGTGCTACTCTTGGTGTAGCCGAGAATATCTGACCCTGAAGTTCAGCCCCCTGAACTTCCTTTTTAATTTGTGCGCTTGCGTCTACCCCTGTGACCGTCACAAGGAGGCATGGAAACAGTAATTCGCGGTGGTTCCCAAGCAAGGCCTCATCTGTGCACTCAATGACTACACCAAAGAGATAATCCAGGTTGACAGAAGGAAGTACTCAGAGCACCAGACATTGGCGACAGCATTCTGCAAGTACCAAACCTTCTCTCAATTCGAGATGGAGTACGCTGGACATGTTGCTGGACATGTGGCAACATACAGTGCTGGCCATAAATGGTAGGTACACTTGTTTTCCCTTCCCCATGAACTCATTTGGCATGAAACTGCAGCATGGGCAGGTTGAGAGGAACAGAAATGGAATTGGGGATTCATCTGGTACTTTCTGATTGCCCTCACGATGAATATCTCCAAACATATCTTCATTTTACTTGAATTTACAGGAAATGACCTGGCCAAAAGTGAAAGGTACAGTTTGAAATTCTCACATAAAACAAAACCACTGACTGTATTATCAACAATTTAAGTTTCTAATACTTATTGCACGCCTCCTTGCACAGCAGCACGTCGATGCAACGCGATTCATGGACCGAATGAGCTTGGCAAGGTACTCCTGGTCAATGGACTCCCATTGCAGCAAAATTTTAGATTTCAACTCTTGAACAGACGAAAACAGTGTATGCCCATTGGCATACACCTTCCTTATGAGGAAGCCCCAGACGATCTCGATCGGATTCAAATCCGGTGAAAGGGCCAGCCAGCTCAACAACGGTACGTCCAGCTCGGCCAAAATCGCCTTCGTCTCGCGGCTCGCATGGATACTCGCATTATCTTGTTGAAATACGAACCCATCGGAGTGGTTCACGTGAACGAAAGGCATCAGGTAGTCGCTAACCGTGTCACAGTACGCGTTGGAGTCCTGGCGGCCAGACAGCAAGGCAACTTCGGTGACACCTCGGCTAGAGAATCTGCCCAAATCATCACACTTCACCCGCCGTTTTGTCGGCTCAAAAACGTCTGCTCTTCCTTGCGTAAGTCGCGCCAGTAGAATTGCATGCCGTCCGGGCCATCTAATTTAAACTTTTTTCGTCAAAAAAGTCGACATCGTTCCACCCGAGACCAAGGTCGACATGCGTTTTCGCCCATGCAACATGACCAGACTTGTGGGCTCGCGTGAGGCGCGGCGTTGCCTTCCGTTTCTTGTACTTGAAGCGTTTCGAATCGTGGAGCACTCGACGAACAGTTCGAGCCGAAACATCTAAATTTAGTTCGAATTGAATCCTACTTGAGCTCGATTTTCGTTCGCTCGCTAGCCGAAGCACA